GCTGATGGATTGCCAAAGGGCTGCAAGGCCAACACACCCCACAAATAAAAGGGTAGGGGAGAAGGCTCTTGACAAATTTCACAAATCTGTTACTACTCCTGTGCAGAATGATGTAGTCAGATAGCATGAGGTGGAAGGGGAATGTGGGCTGCAATATTTGTTTGGGCAATGATCAGCAGGTCCAGGCAAATCAGAAAGGAAAGGTGTGGCTGGATAGAATCACAGAATCATAGAAATACAGAGTTGGAAGGGACCTTGAGGGTCATCTTGTCTAACTTCCTGCAGTGCAGGAGTCATAGGACAGAAACTATATAAGAACATAAGAACCCCCCTGCTACATCAGGCCAAAGGCCCATCTAATCCAGCTTCCTGCTCTTCCAGCAGCCAACCAGAAGACCACACCCAGCAGCATTCTCCCCAGTTGTAATTCCTAGCAATTCATATTTAGAGGTCTATCGCCTCTGGTAGTGGGAGCAGGACACAGGCATCAAGGCGAGTAGCTAGAATGATGCTTAAAAGCCAACCTGGGGGATATGAGAACCAGGCCATCAGTGGTCTCTTTGCTCTAGCACCTCCCAGCCTTTTCTTAGTGGGAAATCATAGCCAGGCTTTGCACCTGGGATCTCCTGCAAGCAGAACACATGTTGTTTCAAAGCAGCAGGGTTGGCTGTGCAGCTCTTTTTGTCCATATACAGCTGTGGGAAGGTATTCTCCCATGGTGCATCCTTCCCTGAGCTGCTTGGTCTCATCTATCCTACCTCACTGTGGTGGTTTTTGTTTGCTTGTTTTTTTTGAGGATACAATGGATGAGGGAGAACCGTGTATGCAGCCTTGAGCTCTCTGGAGGAAAGACAGGAGATCGGTGTAGCAAATAAACAAACAACTGGTATGGCTGCTGGGGGAGCAGCTGGTGTTGCTACATACTCTGTGGTTTGGTGTGCTGCCAATTCCTTCTCAGGTAACTGGAAGCATTGTAAACTTGCAAGGCAGGCTCATTGGCTACCCAGAACACCAACAAACTGTCAGGCTTACAGCTCAGATTAATTTTGTTCATGAATGGGATAAGTGAAGGGAACTCATTGTAAATTACAGTGTAATGGGTTCCAGTCCAATCTCCTTGTATAATTAGAGCAGAATAAAAATAGCCCAGCATGTTTTCAGGTGTGTTTTGAAATGCTCAGACCAGTAGTTCCTGGAAAGCACAAGGATGGCACTTCATAGACTTTCTTCCACTTTCCCCTACAATTTGTACTTTGATGGAACAAATTGCTGTAGCGATGGGACTCATCTGCCCCACTGTCAGTCAAATTCTCACTAATGGATTGTGGCCTCTTTAGCTATTGCTTCTAGCATTAGCTACAATTCATTTTGTTGTTTTTATTAAAAGTTGAGTGCTTTTGCCTGATTCTATACAGGCATTTAATTTCAGGAGGCTTGGGCACACCTTTAAATCCGCATAGGGATATAGAGATAATATAGATTATATAGAGATATATATGTACTGTATTAGTTCTTGTTTGGAGAAAGAATCACAATCTGGAACATTGTTTCTGCTCTGCCTAGTCTAATGAAACATGATACACAGAGACAAATGTGCTTATTGCACTTAATTGTGCTTTCGAACTGCTAGGTGGGCAGGAGCTGGGACCGAAGACGGGAGCTCACCCCGCCACGGGGATTCGAACCGCCGACCATATGATCGGCAGGTCCTAGGCACTGAGGTTTTACCCTCAGCGCCACCCGCGTCCCAAATGTGCTTATACATGCAAATAAATATAGACTATTTCATGGGTAGGCAAACTAAGGCCCGGGGGCAAGATCCGGCCCAATCGCCTTCTAAGTCCGGCTCGCGGACAGTCTGGGAATCAGCATGTTTTTACATGAGTAGAATGTGTCCTTTTATTTAAAATGCACCTCTGGGTTATTTGTGGGGCCTGCCTGGTGTTTTTACATGAGTAGAATGTGCTTTTATCTAAAATGCATCTCTGGGTTATTTGTGGGGCATAGGAAATTCATTCATTCCCCCCCCCCCCTCAAATATAGTGTGATCCCCCACAAGGTCGGAGGGACAGTGGACTGGCGCCCTGCTGAAAAAGTTTGCTGACTCCTGGCTATGCACACCTATAAAATACACACAAGCAGAAAGAAACAGACTTTGCAGCATAAGCATATCCCAACATTACAGATATATGCAAATGTGCTGTTCCAGATAGGGCTATGTGCTCCTTGAAGCAGTTTGCTATAAGTGTAACTGTTCAGTGGAAAAGGAACTGCATGTTCAAATACACGCTATGTACACATTTGACTTATTGTTTAAATTTAAACTAATATTCCATTAGTGTTTATTATGATTCTATATTATAAAATACAAGTGATACTAAGTATAATGTCCTAGTCAAAACAACAAAAACAAAGCAAAACAAAACAAAACAACAACTACCACCCCTGGTTTAATTTGTAATTAATTTTTATAATGAAATATTTTTTAAAATGTTGGATTATTTGATTGTTGTTAGCCGCCCTGAGCCCAGCTTCGGCTGGGGAGGGCGGGATATAAATAAAATTTATTATTATTCATTATTATTATTATTATTTTATTATTCTTATTACTCTCAGCCTAAGCAACCTCACAATATTTGTGAAGAGGGGCCTGTGGAGAGGAGAGAAAATGTATACCACCTTGTGCTTCTTGGAAGAAAGGCAGGATACAATAAATGAAATAAACAAATCAAAATGACCAGAAGGGTCGCCACTAAGAATCTCATTAGTTTTTTTATCCACTCTTTCTTAATCTTTAGGAAAAAGCAACATGTTCTTCTCACCACCAGAAGACGATTCCCCCTCTTTTCTATGTTCCCCCCTCCATTGAAAAGGGGCAAGGTATCAAATGCACAGAGGGACGCGGGTGGCGCTGTGGGTAAAAGCCTCAGTGCCTAGGGCTTGCCGATCGAAAGGTCGGCGGTTCGAATCCCTGCGGCGGGGTGCGCTCCCGTCGTTCGGTCCCAGCGCCTGCCAACCTAGCAGTTCGAAAGCACCCCTGGGTGCAAGTAGATAAATAGGGACCGCTTACCAGCGGGAAGGTAAACGGCGTTTCCGTGTGCGGCTCTGGCTCGCCAGAGCAGCGATGTCACGCTGGCCACGTGACCCGGAAGTGTCTCCGGACAGCGCTGGCCCCCGGCCTCTTGAGTGAGATGGGTGCACAACCCCAGAGTCTGTCAAGACTGGCCCGTACGGGCAGGGGTACCTTTACCTTTATCAAATGCACTGCTGTCTTTGTCCATGGACCAGCATGAGTTTGATCAAACGGTGAAAGGCAGTGGAAGACAGGAGTGCCTGGCGTGCTCTGGTCCACAGGGTCATGAAGAGTCGGACACAACTAAACAACTAAACAACAAATGCTCACATAGGTTGGGGAAAATGTTCCTAGCATTTCAAACCTAAAGAAAGCATGGCATCTGAAATATAAGCCATTTGTTATGATATCTGAATACTGGATTAATGGATCTGATCCTGAGGAAGTGGGCGTGTGGAGTGTTATAAACATACACATTCTTACCTAAGCCAAGCCACCTTTTCTACATTCTGTGTCTGACAAACAACAATGACCCTGCTCAGAAGTTTTTAAAGGCTATTTTGTTTTGAACCATAGACTCTCAAGCTGTTTCAAAATCAGTTTGCTATGCACCCGTGCTCTATAGCAAGCTGGTTTTGAAACTCCCTTCAAAGTAAAGTATCAAACATTGGGCTAGAGTATTACAAGCCCCTTGCATAATTACCCTAAGCAGTACCTAGATCCCACTGAGTATTCCCCATTTCCAACTGAAAAATCCATCCACCATGATGCTCCTAGGCAACCTTCTGGAAAATTATATTTCCACAAACAAAATGGCCTTCCTACTGCATACCAACTTACTACAATGGAGACAAAAATTAAATGAGACTTTCATCCCTTCTCTTTCACAACATAAAACAGGAAATGTCACACACACACATACACAATCCTATGCACAGCTTGTTCTCTTAAAAAATATACCCAAATCAGTAGGCTCCCAACTGCATTTTGCTCTAAATATGTCACATCTACTTATTTAAATAGGAGATTCTTAAACACATGCTGGGACCTTACCACTGAAACCAATTAGAGTTAAATTGCAAACTTATTAGTCTCTGGGACAGCATCCCATGGGGCCATAGGACACTGTGGATTTCTCCCTCCGTGGATGGAAAGCCCTGAGTTGAGCAGAAGCCATGCCCCAGAGATCTCCTCCAGCTCTTGCAACTGTCCCTCCACTATCACTAGTACTCTGACAATGGAGAGGGCAAAATGAATGCATTACTGGAGTGGGTAAGGGAAAGCTTTTAATCTGCTCCTTCCTTCTCCCAAGCACACCCCCAGAAGAGAGGGACCCTGGAACAGGTTTACTTCGTTTCCCATCCATTGGGAGCAATACAAAAACTGTAAACAACAACACGGAAACCACAAAGCTGATGGAAGGGAAAAAAGAAAAAATGTGGACCTACCTTCTGCTCTCTTGCCACAAGCTCACCTGGGCTTTGGACTGGGTGATTTGTCTGCCTTTAAGTCTCCCCCCTTTTCGATAGCTCTGTAACTTGCAAATGTATTTATTTAAAAGACGCACCTGTTGCCTTTTAGGGCACTATTCTCCAAACCTACTTCAATGCTATATTGAAATACAAAATTTTAAAATATATATGTTCAAATAATAGGTTAGTAAAATAAATGTGGTTTTTATTTTTAAAAAACCAGATTCCTTTATAATTTATCGTTTGATAACTTTATAAAAATTGTTCCCTGACTTGTCAAACAACTGCCACTAGGAGTCAGTGTATCTATCTGTAAAGAGCTTGAGTTTGATACGTAACAGCGACGTGCACACTGTTAAATTAAGATCTGCATAAAAGTACCGAAATTATATCCCTACGTACTGAACAGATGTTGTACATATTTGTTATTGGGAAACAACTGAAACACAATTTTATTTGAATTTTTTATTTCATTTTGGTGACTCATCAAGTCACAGCTTTATTAGAGAGGGCTGCAAAATAATGTTTTGATTTCCCCCCCCCAACATTTAGCAATTTAATTTTTTGTTAAGCTGTGCACTGATGGACTTCTTGATCCAGAATACAAGGCACTGTAACTACAATACATGGATGTTGAAATGGTATTTCTCATCAAAAGATCAACAGTTTGTAACATGATTTGTACAAGTCAGGTTCAAAGTGTCCGAGGCCCGCACTTCATCCTTGTATTTACTGCGTTGTGATGTACAATTTCAGTATACAACTCATGGTCAGTGCTGGTACTGTTCTTGAGTATTATCCTGTTGATGCAAGTCTTCACTCTGTGCTGTAAGGTGGCCAATGCAATATGTTTGAAATTAACCAGTTTCCTGAATGAAAAAGCTTTAACAAAGATGTGTAAATTACTATCTGGAACCATACCCAGCACTAGTAATTCCATAGCATGGTGCGAGGCTAGTTTTATTATTATTATTACAAAATAATAATGTGTGCAGGTATAACCGTATCTATAGCTAGATAAAGATATCCATGTATCTTGGCAGTTAGAATAACTGAATACAATTAAACACTGAAGAAAACAAAGCTACAGAATCCTTTGAATATCAGACACAATGGACATAGACCAGAAACCCATGCATGGGAGAAAACTAAACCTCCAAACAAAGCCAAATCCCATCTATTATGGAACATAAATTTCATAACTGCATTAAGGCATTTTCTTCTACGAATCTTCAGAATTTAAACCAAGGACAGGAAACCTGTGGCCTCCCAAGTGTTTTTGTCCTCAAACTTCCACCAGCCCTACCTTGCATGGCCCATGGTCAAGGATCATGAAAACTGGTGTTCAGCATCTTTTGGAGGGCCTCAGGTTCCCCACATCTGACTTAAAGGAAAAAAAGGTGGGAGGAATCAGAGGAAGAAACAGAAAGCTTAGAATATTCAACATTCTTCCCATGAAAAGGGAAATGCAATCCTTCCATAGGAATTGATGAACTCCAATTGCAGAATACGAGTGATAGAAACATAACGCACTTACACCTGAACTGCGTTAGGAAATAAGCTTCTGCTTCCCGATTCCCCTTTCTGACTATAATTCTGTATATGCAAACAGAGAGTGGGAAAGGCCTTCATTTAGCTTCACATTTAGTAAAATGCCTTCATGCAGCGCACAGTTAAACTTTGGAATACTCTTGCGCAGGAGGCAGCGACAGCCACCAACTTGAATGGCTTTTAAAGAGGATCAGGCAAACGGTAAAGGAGATATGTTTGGAATAAAGGCGTCAAAATGGTCTGCTGTTAAATCTCTCGTCCAATAGGGCAGGCAGTCCCTTCCTCCTCCACACGGTCAGCACGCTGAGAGGGAAGAGCAGAGGTGGGCCTTCTGTGCAATGGCAGTGCTACTTATTTGCAGCCCAGTGAGGAACGTGAGAACCTTTGAGTCACAGCCCTTGCGTCTCTTTCGTAAGGTGCCTTAACATGGGGGCCTTTCACTAAACTATAATGATTTAACATCTGAAATGACAACTAATTGTCCTTTGGGAAGCTCAGAACACTGAAATCACTACAATCGGGGGGGGGGGGGGAGATTGCAAAAACATCCATCAAAGGAAGAACTCAAATCACCCTTACATAAACGTGTGTTCTCTCATATTTCTACAACACACATTTCTCATCTGAAATTCGGATTTGGAATCCACAATAATGATAAGTAGTCAGATATCTTGTGGGAGCTAAATTAAAGGTAACTGGAACAGTTTTTAAAAAAGAAATATTAAACAGCAAGTTTTGGCAACTCTTTCCAAAAACAAAAGATTCAGACTGTTCTTACTGTTTGTAATCAGAACCACAACCTTAGTGCAATATTATATTTATTTCTTACAGTAATTTTGGTTGCCATACAAGAGTAGTAAGGATTAGGGAAAGTGCAAGTTACAGGAGCTTGATTTTGTTGTCATCAATTTGAAATAAGAGGAATTAAAGCACAAAAATTACAGCAACAAAGATAACATGAACACAAGTTGTTACACAAACTATAGCGAGAAACATTACTATCTAGAAAATAAAATAAATGTAATGGAAAAATTATCAGTATTAGAGGCTCATACACAGAGTCATTGCCAGATCAACTGGGTAATGCTTGTTTGTAAAGGAACTCAGAATCAGAAAATCACTTTTATTAACTTAGGTACCACAAATAGTTAGCTTTTGTGATATGTAAATTCTGTAAATCAACAGTCACATATAGTCATTTTATAATATATGAATTAAAACTTAAAATGTTCCCAGACACCCAGGGAATAGAGTCTGTGCAGTTATACACAATTTACATCTTGTGTGATTTTGGTATTGTATACACAAATATTACAGAAACTAGGCATGTAAATGCAATTTATTTAAATTACAGTATATAAACAAAAGTTGTTCCTAAAACCTGGAATATCATTAACAAGATTATCTCTAACACCTTATTTTGCACCATCATAGTAGCAGGAGATTAGAAGGGCCATTCCTGCTCCCAACATTTTCAAGACTGATAAAAATGCTAGGAGGCAACTGTATCTGTTACTATTGCTTTCTGTGATAAAACCATCAAACAGTACTAAAGACTACTTCCTCTTGGCAAAGGTGTATTTTATTGATAAAAGCAGTTCCTTGTAGGCCCTATTACTCTTTCAATCATAAGACACAATGTAAAAATAAACTATTTCATTAGCTCTTTGATGTTTAAATCTCTTTTCTACTAATTCTATTGTACCTACTATGTAAGTGCCTGAAAGAGATACGTATCTAAGAGACCCCTTTTAAGAAAGGGATTACCATCACTTGTAACTTCGGTGTACACCATCATAAGATATTCAACAGTAAAAGGGTATGATTAACAGCAGCTTAGAAATAATTCTCTCTATTTTCTTTTCCTACCATGTGTCCTGTTGTATTTCCTGGCACATATTGTAGAGGTAACACCAACTGCATTCAAAGAAGCAAAAAGGAGCATGGCGTTCGTGGTTTATTTACTGATTCTGCAATATCACCAAATGGAAGACAATGATGGCTGAATTATCATTTCCTTTTTTACACCCCCACCGCCACAAAAAAATAATAATATTTGATGGCTTTTTGTAGCCACTGAATATATGAATGTCATCCTCTACATAATCCATATAATTATGGAAATTTCAGGACTTTTGCATTTAAACTAGATTTTAATTATAAGGTTACTTGGAACTTTCAAATGCAAATAGGAACCTGTGAAGGATACAACAACAGATGTTAAGTCAAAAGACCAGTTTTTGCAGAAAGTGAAGTGGGGGGAGAAGAGAGAGATGAATATTAGTTTTCATAATTAACCACTGCATTGTTAATTGTAACCATGTTTGAAGAAACACTCATCTTCTGAAGAAGTTCTAGCAAAGATAGAAAATATAACACAGCTCTGCTGGTTCAGATGCATCCAAATGAGGTTGATTTAAAAAGGTCAAGACTTAATAATTATTCCACAGAAATAGTAGTAAACCACAAAAGTTTTATTTTATTTTTTTAAATTTCTAGCATTGAAGTGGCACAAAGGCTGCCCAGTAGACCAGCCACTTATATTCTTAAAATATTGTGCTTATAAACTATCTGTACAACTATTTAAACTTGCAGTAAAGAAAGATATTGAAATTGCTAAATTTTATGTACTAGTTCTAGACCTAATTAGACACTTCGTTGTGAGAAAATATAATTAGAGATAGGCTGGGATGTATTAAGGAAAGAATTTAGATGCCTTCCAAAAATATGAGGCCTTCTGAAAGTTAAGTAGTTTGATGACTGAGTAACCACATATGATTTAACCTTCTGTTATAGGCTGAAGTCTTCAGGAAGGCGGGAACCACAAAATTCATAATGTGTATTACTTACAGTGGGAGAGAGAATAAGGTGGGAGAATACTGCTAATCTCCATAGGTTACGAAATCTCTAAATATATATCCCACAATAAAGACTATCATTCTAAGTATGCATTCCAACCAATTCATAGCCATTTCATTGGTTTTCAACTCAGTGTCAAATAAACTCAACCCAAGTTGTGAGAACAAATGTATTCTCCTGCAATGCTGCTCTAGTTCATGCAGCAATGCAGAAGTGAACTTTGGGATTTTTGATTTTCAGTCAAACTGAAGCCAAAGTCAAACTGACGGTGTGCCAACTTTAGGTGGCTGACGTGTCTTTGGCACCCTGAATATTTGTTGGAATGGGGTCGGGCCCTCTCAATGTTGAGTGGGTCGCATACTGCAGTATCAGTGGCTGGCTCCTTCACAGCACTCGGCCTCCTCCAGGTGTTGTGATGTCGTAGTGCGCATTGCCTGTGATACGACGTGTGTGTGCCACGCAAGACATCACACGTGTACAAAGCATGCCAGGACCCCTCAATCTGGTGGGCAACCTGGCGCCTCTGAACTGAAGCTAACTTGAATTTTTAGAAATTGTTCCTTGCATCTATAATAGGTGCCCATCAGGTTTCTGAAAAAAAACATGCATCTTGCTTATAGTTTCAGATTATGCAGGCAATCGCTTTTAGATTTTCCTCTTCCTGGTGCCATAGACTAATGCCAACACATAAAGATACACTTCTGCATGTAAAAACAGGCTTTGTGCCACGTGGATTCAGCAAGAGCAGAAAGATGATATTTTGAGATGGAAACTCCTACCCTATGCACAGTTGTGAACATAGCTTGTGCAAAGGTTTGTGCATTCACATGCAGAACTGTAGAAACAATATATATTGTTCTTTTATTTATTCTTTGGATCATAGCAGTAATTGAGTCCCTCGCCACACGTGATCACTTTGACACAGCAAAAGCAATCAGTGCATAAAAATACTTTTCTTTGCATGAACAGCTCATTCAGATCTGAATCTAACTGTGTGGGAGGGCAAAAATTAATGAAAGCTATGTGACTAGTTACAAAGGATGACAAGAACTAAATTCATTAGAGATAAACCAAGGAATGCAATAAACAAGCCAAAAGGATGTCAGAAAGTTGTTTGTTTGTTTTTTGAAATCTCTGCTTCTACAACCCCACGAATGTATTGATTTTTAATTAAAACCAGTAAATGTGCTATGAAAAAATGTGAATGTTAGTATGGTGTCTAATTGGCAGAAGTGAGAATCAAAATAGGAGGAGCCATGGAACTGAGTGCAATGGGCATGTGGAATGACTGGGGGTGGGGAGAGCAGAAATTGCAAAAAGAGCTGGACATAATACTTTATTGTGAAAGGAGAAACACCAATATGTTTCAAACCAAAAATAAACTGGCACAGTATTGTTCAGGCAGAAGGGCATTTCTGAAGGGCAGGAAAACAATTCATGAATACCAAAGGATGAATGTTATCCCCATGCCCCATAAATAAAAATACTGTAATAATTTTAGAAATAATTTCAGTAAGACCAGAGCTTACACACACACACACATATATTTTAAAAAATTAGCATTTCCCCCCTTTCCTTATTCTCTCCCCTTCCTTCCTTCCTTCCTCTTTGAAATATATAGTCCCTTTAATAACGTACATTTACTTGGTTGGGGCGGCTCCCGGGCACCAAACTTACAATCTACACTCTTGCATATCAAAAACTATAGCAACCAACCGATGCTTCAATTTAGTGGTACTCTTGGGGAGCCAAGGCATTTGGGGTGTTTCAGTACCAGCCCATCTCTATTTATAACAAAGGTATGTGAGGCAAGCGCAGCCATTCTTATCTGTCCAGTAGCTGTTTCAAGGCTCTTTCTATGTTCATTCTGTGACCAACTCTAGTCACTCCAAGGTCTATCAAGTCTTCCTTCTGAAGGTTTGGTAAGTGAGTGCCATCTATTTCATTATCCATAAAGGTCTCTTTATGTTCACCTAAGTTTAAACTCTCCAACCAATCTGCCACATCTGGCTTGGTCCACAGGTGGACAGGCTTAGTTGTAAAAGGCTTATTTGATATTGGCTGTTGCAAGATTGAGGGAGAAGGAGACCTGCTGCGCCCTGTGTTCAAAGCAAAGAGGTCCCCCGAAGGAGGCTGGCTGGGTAGGCTAAAAACATCAGAAAGTGTTGGAGAAGGAGATGCAACTGGAGCAGCAGCAGTCAGAGGAGCTGGCATGATGTCCTTACTTATTTCTGTTGGTGAAACCACTGGGCTTGGAGCATGTCTTGCTCCTGGTGTCCTACTATCATAGTCTGGGGATCTGCTCTGCAGTGTGATTGGCTGGCTAGTCCCAGGCCGGACAGTAAAAGTGATGGTTGAACTTCGAGTACCTGAGACAGTGCTCATGACTTCTGTGCCCCTGAAATAAACAAATAAAAATGAACAGGAAATATTCAGACTTGCCACGTATTAAAAATACAAATCAGCTCATTGCTAACTTATGACACGATTACATATTAAAGATATATATAAATGCCAAAGAGATGCCATACAACTTTATGAAAACAATAGTGGCAGAAAACTATGAGCAAGCTTTACAAATATTTTAAAAGTCAAAGACAATCTCAAATATGCTGCTAAAAATTAACTCTAGCCACTGAATCATTGCCCCAAAGAGCATTATGGCAGAAGACGTTTAAGTTTGGTGAATCTCACAAGAGAGTTCCAAAACTGGACAAAACAACCAAGGATGCTTCTCTGTGTCATTGTTCTAATTTGTTGCACAGATGATGCACTAAGGAAATTACATGTAAGAGATCACAGCAGGGTACAGAAGAGGAGGCAGTTCCCAAGGTAAGTTATATGCTGAAACCTGTCTTGCTAAGCATAGGCCAGAATCCTAGAAGAACCCAGTTCTGATGCTTGGGAATTTCACCATCAGGAGGCAGGCCATTGCGTTTTGCACTAGCTGAATGCTCTTAGTACAGTGACTTGGCTCACCAGGGGTAGTCCTACACATTGGCAGAGCAAGCCAATTGGGCGCCTGGGGTGGCATGCGCGCCCTGCACCCAGGCGCAGGGCCAGCCGCCCACTGGGCGGGGCAAACCAGGGCAGGACACTCTGTGGGGCCTCTGAGGAATCTGCCTGCCTCCTCCCACTCAGCCGCTCTACAGCTGAGGGGGAGGCGGCGGGTGAACTGTTTGGGGCAGTGAGGAGCCTGCAGGCGCCCAAGCCACCGCGTCATTCCCAGACGAGATCTGTGACTCGGGCGTGCTGCAGGCTCCACTGTGAGTGCCGCCCGGCATTTTGTCACCCCCCCCCTTAGTGGTGACACCCGGGGCGACCCACCCCAGTACACACCCCTTCCTCCGCCCCTGGTCCTATGTACAGTATATTAAGAGTCCAGAGGTGGGGCAGATATTTGTATACCCACATAGTAAGTCAAATAAAAGAGAGCTGAAGTCTCCAAAAAATCCAGAGAAAATACATTTTGCACCCAGTGAATCAAATTTGGTGAACAGAAACTGCACTCAAAAACACGTTTTGAGAGAGTTTTATCGTGGAGATGGTTTTGTTGACATGCTTTGGTTCCTGACAAGTAACCCTAAGGTCTATGCTTAGGCAGGGTGGAAAGCAAGAGGGGTTTATCAATGGGTAACTAAAGGATGAAAGACACACATATGTATCAATTGCTCTGAAGATCTGCCTGCCTGTTTTAATATTATGATCAGGGCTCTAGACACATCAAAGAAGCGTTTCACTTTCAAGCGTTGTAAATTTAAACAGGGAAAACAGGTAGAGAAAAATGGGACTCCACATCGCCATCTGGTGACACAATGTTATATCGCACTTACAACACATATAAATCGCTTTTTCTTTACCAGTCTAGATGAGTCCTGGGACTAAGAGTAAATGAATGTGTCTGGACTATAGATTTTTATTCATCCTTACTTTTGGCATTTCTGATGCATCCTGTTTTATTAATATACAAAATAATGCATTTTAATTTTTTTAAAGGCTAAAAATAAGAGCAGCCCCTGTTTTTATTTGTCAAAGCAAGATTCTATTACAGATCCAGCTCATTTGAAGGCTCTTTTTAACCCGGGGAAATCTGAAGCTAGTAACACTGCTAGCCTCCACCGTTCAAAAGAAGAAAGTTTATCATTCAGGTAGGAGGTCTCTGATCTCTGACAATTACATGAAACTAGCCTTGAGGTCATGAAGCATAAATACAGTAATTGGTAACTAAAACAAAACTGAAATAACAGGTTGCAGTAAACTTGGCAAAGAGGACTTCTTGTTACAACTGTAATTGGGGCATCAAGATGGAGCAACAGATCCAAGGAAGTCTTAGCAATGCAAGCCTGACTAATCAAAGGTGATATAACAGGTGTTAGTGTCCACTCCAAGTGACAGCACATGCACATTTTCAATATCTCATACTTGCTTTTATTCAGCTTCTATCCGCTCAGCTGCACTCGTTGCCCTTCCTTCCACAACTCCCAATCCATCTTTAATCTGTTTTTGATTTGACTGAGAATTGTGCCTTTCTGGTGCTTTCTAAGATTCTGGTGTGAATAACTTTTAAGTATAAAAATATAGGCTTGGATCTAAATAGGTACTTCAGGTATGTCAAGTGAGATTTTTTACCTTTTTCCTTCATACAGCAGAGACACATATCACATTACAAACTATTTCTGAATGCCCCTTTGTTTTCAAAATACGTTTGGCATGCAATGGGTAAAAAAACACAAGCACAAACTCTCTTGAATATGTAAAGCAAGTTGCATAGTTCTTGGGATTTGGGCCATTATCTGTGCATTTTAAATTATCAACACAGAGTTGATTAGTTGTATTCTAACATTATTTTCAGTTAAAAACGAAATCAACTTCTACACCAAATGATAATGAGACCTCAGGTGTCAAAATGTCTTGGGCCAGCCTTGGTCACAGTTTATCTCCCCCAGACAAACCATGTGTGGTAAACCATATAATTCTTTGCTAACAGATCACACTTTGTCTGGAATGAGATAAAGTTTGGCTTAGCATTATGCAGGTCAATGGACGGAAACAAGTCTTGCCTGCCCCAGGTTTGCATGCTTCCCCCTTCCATCTCTGGTGTGGTCATAAAAGGGAGTTCAAAAGTTCATTTGTGGCACAACTTACGTAGTAGTAGTAGTACAACTAATGTATGGGACATCAAAAATGTCAAATTCCTATACAGAGGAGAGGAGCGATTTAAAGTGCAGCATGGATGGGCTAGTATTAATAGCTCTCTGTATGGATAAAGGGAATCAAACAGTGAATCTTCCCAACATGGCAGTAAAGAATGAACAAGAATGCAAAAAATGTTATTTGTAACTAAATAAAAGATTTTCTAAGGTCAGTATTCAATTTCTGCAGAAATCACTGTAAATTACAGTGGGTAAAAAATAATTTAAAAATTACTGTGGATTCTAGAATGTTGATGCTTAGAGCTTGTCCACACTTCCGATTTCCCCCTCACTTTCCCCTGGGGAAACCCATGGTTTAATACTGAACTGGAACAAGTGGCAATTGGGCTTTCTACAGATTGCCATGTGTTCCACTTCAGTAGTAAACTGTTTCTTTTTTCAGGGCAAGAGAAACACCTCTGGGTCCTGTGCTTTCTAGGCATGGGACAAGCAAAAGTGTGGACAGGCCTTCAGTCTCTAACATCTTGTTTTATATCCTTAGCAGATTGTTATCTCAGAGAATACAAAGACTAAGGAGAAGGGTCAAAATGTGCACAGCACATGCAGGCGCCTTTCTTCCTTTCTGTGCATTGCTTCTGGCCTTATCACATACCAAACTGCATGTCTATAGTGACAACATGCCTTTGATGGCATGCTAACAAACAGGCCAATGGGGTCTGGGTTGGTTTGTACCATATTCGCTGGTACAAAGAAAAACATGTCTCAGACTTTAAAATGTACCCTGAGGAGACTTTGCCCATGAAGCTATTTAGGTGAATGGGAGGAAGAAGACAACTCGGAAGTATTTAATGCTGCACTTTCCACTGCCAAGTTGGAAACATCTGTTAAGTTTAAAAAGTAGCTTCTCTCTTTGACAGAAGTGCTGCAGGAAAAACGTCAAATACGAATCACCAGCGCTTACAATTCCCAGCATGTCTAAATAGTTTCTTTGAATTTGTGATAATTATTTTACAATCACAGTGAGAGAAACATTGGTCAAAGGTTATTGATTTGTAATTCAAACACAAAGGACCTGAAAATTTACCCAAAATAATGATTTATAAAAATTTTTTTACATTAAATGGCATCCAGACCAAAGCTGTGCATTTTATTTAAGATAGAGCAGTTAGGGATTTAAAAAAAATCTTTCAGAAATAAAAAAAACACTAAATTGAGCTGTTTAAAATATTGATTGTCAGAAGCGGGGAAAGAGTTTCTTCTAGAAATATCAAACACATCCACATCCATAGCTGTGAGAAATAAAGTATCCGTTAGCAACTTTTACTATACCCTTTTCTGTAAATTGTCAATAAGCGGTTATTAGACTAGAGACAATTCTTTCCAACCAAATTTACTTTTCTAATATGGCTTTTTATATTGTCAGGAAATATATATATATGAAAAGCTGGCTCTATTAGGAATAAGCATACAGTGATATTTTGTTGCAAATATTCACTTCCTTTGATTCCTCTGATTGCAATACACATTATGTTGTCTTAGATTATTTCACAATATGTAATTACTGTGTCACATCACTGAATTTTCCCAGGAAAAGCAGTCTGTAGGCATGAATTCCTATTAAAGTTATTTTGAGCCATTTTAATAGGATTTAAATATAGTACTACATTTTAAATAAACGTTTACTAGCAGTAGGACTGGGCGATATATCAACATGCCCAAAACCAGTTTGAAATCCACATAGTGATATCAGTTTCATAATTTTTGACCTGGCAATGTATCGTGAATCAGTATGGGAAAAACCATGAAGCCAGCCAATGCCTCTACATAGCTCCATCCTTGTTTCAGACATTGTGATATATCAGTATATTGTGATGTTTAGCTGGTGATATATCACGATGTAGAAAACCAGACATTGCCCAGCCCTAACTAGCAGAAAGCTTCAATATACAAGGTGGTTTTTTTCCTGCTAAAATGAACTACATGGACACAAGAGTTATTTATATGCCAAACTGTTGCCCAAACATCTTTTTAAGATGTACAATGTGATCCTATGTATGTTTACTCACAAGAAAGTTCTCATGAATTCAATGGAATTTGCTATTTAGCAAGTGAACTAAGGACCACAGGATGTAGAGCCAAACTGTACATGATGTTCATCTTTATTTTAATATGCATTTTAAATAATTCAAATAATAGCTACCTGGTGTGGGGCTTATAATGATCAAGATTGCAGCAGTCAGTGGGT